CTCCAGGTTGCTTCCACCTAGCCCAGGTTGCTCCAAGCCCCGTCCAACCTGGCCTTGGACACTCCCAGGGATGGGGCAGGGCAGGGGTGGAATCCCCCCCCATCCCTGGAGGGATTTCAAAGCCCTGTGGGTGTGACACGTGGGGACATGGTCAGTGGTGGCCTTGGCAGTGCTGGGGGATGGTTGGACTCCATGGTCTGAGAGGACTTTCCCACCTCCACAGTTCTGTGCTTGACTTGCAGGACGTGCTCGAAGCTTCCTGGGATGTTGCTCTTTTGAGCAGTGTTGGTGCTGAACAGGAAAGTTTGGAGTGAGGCTCACTTCCAACCAGGGAAGCTTTAAGGAAATAACAGAGAGTCTGTTTAATGCTGAGCCTTGGAGGAACCCTTTGGGCTTCCCTGCAGTTGATAAAGTAGCTGTTCTTCTCTCTGGTCTTTTGGGGGAAAATTATATCCTTAAAACCTCCACATCACCCACTTTAATTGCTTCATTTCATGTTGTATTTCTTCTAAAGGTACCTCACCTGCTGGGAGGAACCACCTAGAGAGTGGCAGCATTTAGAGAAGTAAGAACTGAAGGATAAAACCTCTTAAGGGTCTCTTCAGACACCGGAGTTCTCGTTACAGGTGGCTGCTGATGCCCCCAAATGGGGCTGAGTTGCCTCTCTGGAGCCTGTCCCTGCTCCACATGCTTCGTGTGCGTCACAGTGTTTATTGGAACTTGGCTCTTGGAGGCAGAATTACAAATTTCCTCATTAGTGGGTTTTTTATGGCTCCCTCTGCTCGAACAAGACAAACGTCAGAGTTCTATTTTCCATCATTTTTCAGATCTGTAGGAAGGCTGTTGTTCCCTTTTGTCAGAAGGAGCTAAATCTTATTTTTCTGAGCGTAGTTTTAGCACAGATCATCCCATTTTTACTATTTATTCTGAAAAACCACCACTGCTTATTTATTCTGACTCTGGTTTGATTCAAACTCCACATGGTCTTGTTTGCTGGGTTCTTGATCCAGCAGCAGAAAATATCTGCTTTCTGGTGACAAATTTATTTTGAAATTAGGCTTTTTAGCTTGCTGGCTTGACTGGGCCTTTGCCAAGTGAAGTTTTTGGTGCTTTGGCTCCTTTCTGGCTGTGTGATCCTACAGCTCAGGGAGGGTTGGGCAGGGCTGGGGGGTGGCCAGGAGTGCTCCTGCACGGCTGCTGCAGGGGAGGAACCTGGTTTCTGCTACCTACAACTTCCTGTAGATCCTGGTTTGCTCAGCTCCATCCCCAGAGGAACCTGGAAGAGCTGGCTGGAGGCTGGGGATGGTGTGGGTGCAGCCTGGAGCTGGACTGGGGAGCGTGGCCAAGGCGGGGGTTCAGCCAACAAGAGGGTCCAGCTCTGGGGTGGGATCTTCCCAGGGAATGTTGCTGAATTTGAGCAGTTTTAGAAGAGAAGGCTCTGGTGTGACAGCAAGGCTGTACCCACCAGTGCCAAACTCCTCCTGCAGAAACTTTGCCAAGGAAAACACGGAAAGCACCAATTATCTTGGCTGGGCAGGACAGGTGTCTTTGGGCTTTTGCTCAGAACTGGCCTCTTTGTTCTCTCTGGTGCACTTCCATATAGAATTCCAGCCTGGTTTGGGTTGGAAGGGACCTTAAAACCCAGCCAGTTCCACTCCCTGCCTCGGGCAGGGACACCTTCCACTCTCCCAGGTTGCTCCAAGCCCTGTCCAGCCTTGGGCACTTCCAGGGATCCAGAGGCAGCCACAGCTTCTCTGGGCAACCTGTGCCAGGGCCCCACACATGACACAAATCATTTCCTCCAGTGTTGCTCTTAGAAATTGTGAAGCAGAGGTGCCTCGTGGAACTGTGAGCTGAGACACCCCAAAAAGTTGTATTTTCACCATTAAAATAGTGTTTAGAGAGTAGGGAATGGTGAGGAATTGGGATGGGGATGGATGTGCCAACAGTACCACTTGCAGTGAGTAACAGCAGGGGAAAGTACCTGGTGACAGGGTTATGCCTTGGAGTTATCCTGGAAGATCCAGATGGGAATGTCCTTCCCTGTCTCCTTCAAGCCCCTTTCCCTCAGGAGTAATTCAATTCTGGGTGCTGACTCAGCTCAGCTGAATTTTCCTCCTCACCAAACACCACGAGGAGCAGGAGGAGCCCGGCCCCTGCTACAGCTCCCAGCAAAATGCCTTTGGAATATCTCTCAGGGGTTTGTTGCCAAGCTTGGGGGAACAAGCAAACTGAAAAGTCTCTTAAATTATTCTTTCAGACTGATGAACAAATTTGATTAAGGTTTGGCAGCCCTTCCCAATATTCCCTGTAACTAGGAAATGGTCCCAGTTCTCTGCTCGGCGAACACCCTCGTAATTAAACCATGAATGAAAGCAAATGTCCTGATGAGCACATTGGGTTGGGACTTAAATTGAGGCAAATGACTATCAAACCCCAGAACTACCCTTCTGTAATCCCTGGGGAATTGTAGAGGGTTGTGTACCCTGGAATGTCGGAGGCTGTGAGAGAAGGAGCCTGAATTACGGCCCCTAAAGGAGGGAAGTTCCCTACCCTGCTCCCCTGGATTTATTATTATTATTATCATCATCATCATCATCATCATCATCATCATCTAGGTTCATAAAGTCCCAGAATGGCATGGGGTTATGGAAGGGACCTTAAAGATCATCTCATTCCACCCCCTGCCAGCCCAGGTTGCTCCAAGCCCCGTCCAGCCTGGCCTTGGACACTTCCAGGGATCCAGGGGCAGCCACAGCTTCTCTGGGCAACCTGTGCCAGGGCCTCCCCACCCTCCCAGCCAACAATTCCTTCCCAATATCCCCCCTAGCCCTGCCCTCTGGCAGTGGGAAACCATTCCCCCTTGGCCTGCCCTGTTTCTAATTCACTTTCAGTTAACATGAAACCCCGTGAAATTCAGATTGGCTCAGAAAGTGTGGGAGTTTAAATCCTGAGCCTTTGGAAGCTGAGGGTTTTGAGGAGCATTCCCTGAGCCAGTGAATTCGTGGTGTGGATGCTGTGGTTTATCAGCAGCAGGAGGTTTAGTGTTGCTGCTGAATTAGCTGAAATAATTAATGACAGGCAGTACCTGAAAGGTAAATTCCAGCAGAGGGAAAGGCACCTTGATGTCGGAGATATTTGAGACTGGCAGGATTCCATTGGAGCAGTTTCTGGGAGCAGGGAGAAGGGAATGGATGGGAAGTTGTTGTTCAGAACCACTGACAACAACTGCTCCTTCTGGCCCTGCTGTGGGTTGAGCTGACAGGTGAAATGAGGGAGAACGTGAAGGGTTATTGAAATGCAGGGGAGAAACCCAGCAGAGAGGAGCCAGTACAGGTTAGCTACAAAAACAAGGGGGTTTCCAAGTGAACATAGATAATTCTTCAGAATTTTGAATATATATAAATATATTTGGTTGATCTATAAATATATAAATACATTTTGAATCAAACACATGTCCAGGCCATACATTTTGCTCCTTTTTTTTTTCCTTCTCAAGCCTTTTTTGTGTGTCCAGGATGCTCAACCCAGCACTGCAAAACTTAGAAGATAAATGGGTAGGAAGAGGCTGATGCAATGCAAGGGAAAAAAGGCTCCTGAACTTATCCTGGAGTCAGGGAAATAAATAATAACAACAGCCAGCCTGTCCTGCTGGGGTGGGTGGAAGGGACAGCTTGATTTTATTTGCTGGTTGGTACCAGAATTGAGATGCTCCTGTCAAGGCTGACAAGGAAGAAAATGTGAAATATAAATAGTAATTTTGGAAAGATGTGGAAAACAACTTGTTTACTGTTGGAGTTGTCAGTCTGTGCTCCAGTGGGCCCTCAGTGTGTCACAGTCTGCTGGGTGGTTATAAAAAGCCCCATCCAGCACAGGTAACACTTGGATTTAATCCCCAGATGAGGGGGGGGGATGTAGGAATTTTGGAATCCCAGTGCCCCGGGAATTGCAGGGGAAGGGAGCCCAGAGCAGTGGCAGCTGCACAGCAACACTGCTGGGAACTGAGGGTTAAAGCCATTTATAGGGAATCTGGGACAAGAGTTTCCACACTGAGGGTCTGTGGGATCCATGTGTGTTGGACTGGGAACTCCCTGTTCCTGCTTCCGTGGAAGTCCTGGAATACACTTCCAGGGATCCAGGGGCAGCCACAGCTTCTCTGGGCAGCCTGTGCCAGGGCCTCCCCACCCTCCCAGCCAGGAATTCCTTCCCAGTATCCCATCTAACCCTGCCCTCTGGCAGTGGGAAGCCATTCCCTGTGTCCTGTCCCTCCATCCCTTGTCCCCAGTCCCTCTCCAGCTCTCCTGGAGCCCCTTCAGGCCCTGCAAGGGGCTCTCAGCTCTCCCTGGATCCTTCTCTTCTCCAGGGGAACCCCCCCAGCTCTCCCAGCCTGGCTCCAGAGCAGAGGGGCTCCAACCCTGGCAGCATCTCCGGGGTCTCCTGCTGTTGTTCCCCAGAGCTGGACTCCATTTCCCATTTCCCTGTGTGACCTTTCCCATTGTCAGTCCAGCTCCCTTGGGCTGCCAGGAATCCTCCCTGCTCATGGAGGGCAGGAGAAAGTTCCAGAAGAAACAGCCCTAACAATAGGGGTAGTTGGAAACAGAACCCCCCTTCAGGATAAGTCGTAGTGTAAAACCTGGAAGAGGTCAGAACTTCACCATTAACATTCCAAGAATTAATTTTAATAGTTTGAAGGGTGGGAAGATTTGCTATTTGAATTAAACCACAGGTTTCCTTCATCTGCTGCCTGGCTTTTCCCACTGGAATAACAGGAGAAATTGGATGCTAATGGCATGTGGATGAACCTGTCCCATTACAGGGAAGATCTTTCTTCCTGCAGGAATTCTGGGCTTGGGGAAATTTCCCTGAAATACCAACCTGTAGCTGCCACACTTCTCTCTCCTCCTGCTGCTGTGTCGAATGATAGTAAACTAAAAATATGTATATATATATATAATTAAAAAACGCTCGAACTTACAAAGTGTCCCTTCCTTCCCCTGCAGTGAAACCAGAGGAGCCCAAACCAGCAGAAGCCGTGACAGGGAACGACATCACAGCTCCTCCCAACAAGGAGCTTCCTCCCAGCCCGGAGAAGAAGACCAAGGTAGGACCATTCCACGTTCAGTGTCTCCGCTCCCATGGGTTTTATTTGCCAGCTTTTCTGCTTCCTCAGCTGTGCCAACCCAGGTTCTGTTTTCTGAGCTCCGCTTGGGAACCCTTTTCCCAGACCAAACCCAGCCAGTTCCAGAGTCACAAACAGCTCAGCCACGTGGCTGAAAGTGCCTTTGATAAACGTGTGGAAAGGTTTATTCCCGTGCACTCTGGGGCTGGGGTAGGAGTAGCAAACACGGAGGATGAACTCCTGCTGCACAGACACTCCCGAGTTGTTTACGAGACAGTTATTTGCATTGCAGTGGGCACAGAGAGATCCTGCTCGGGCTCTGGGGCTCTCTTGTTGCAGAGAGCTCTGCTCCCAGGAGCTTCACAATCCACCCCCAAATTCCCAGAGGGGTGGGAGGCCAGGAGCTCTCTGTCTCTCTGGGGCAGGGGCCGTGTGACCGCGGGAGTTGATCGGATGAGGATTTAGGGCCTGCAATCCGTGTGTGCCCGTGATTGGAGAGCTGTGCCCTGCGTCCTGCACGTAGGACTGGAGGCCAGGAACACCCAATTGCTAATCCCAGCTTTACCAGCCATTCCTTCTGTTGCTTCTGATGCTGCTGGAATAAATCCTGCTGGTTTGGGGTTGAATGGCAGGACCTGCCCCGAGGCCCCGCTGCACTCCGCTCTTTGCTGCGCTCAGAAAACAGAAAGCTGATTATTCTTATCGTTTGTTTCCTTTAAAACACCACCTTTATGTTCTCGCAGCTCGATGTTTTGGTTCACAATGCGCTGTTTTTTTGTTGTATTCCTTTGGTTTTTATCCCGGATTTTGCTTTCTGGCCCCACCCAAAGCCCTCTGCATCCACCTCCTCTCCAAAGCCGGCAGCAGCGAAGGCCAAGCCCTCGGCCACCACCAGCCCCAAGCGCCCGGGCTCGGCCACCTCAGGCCCAAACAAAAAAGCCACGAGCCCGACTGCAGGTCCTGCAGCCAGCACTGCCAAACGCCCCGGCACCAGCACCACCCGTCCCTCCTCCTTAGCTGCAAAAGAGACTAAACCAAAGGTAAGAACCGACCTGCTGTGCTGGGGGAACTCCCAGGGCTCGTGGACGTGGGAAATGACCGGCTCTCCCCAGCAGTCAGAGCAGAATTCCTGTGCCAGTCAGGGGAGGATAAGGTCAGGATGGTCATTCAGTGTGTGAGGAGCTGCAGGGTTCTTGGGAGCAGCTTCCATTAACCCGTGGATGGCACCAGGTCCCAGGCACTGAACTGTGGCATCACAGAGGCCAATTAAACTTGACTGTGTTACTGTGATTTTCTTGGTGAGCTGCCATGAATCACAGAATCCCAGGATGGTTTGGGTGGGAAGGGACCTCAAAGATCATCCATTCCACCCCCTGCCCTGGACAGGAACACCTTCCACTAGCCCAGGTTACTCCAAGCCCCGTCCAACCTGGCCTTGGACACTTCCAGGGATCCAGGGGCAACCACAGCTTCTCTGGGCAACTTGTGCCAGGGCCTCCCCACCCTCACAGGGAAGACTTTCTTCCCAATAAAACTCTTAAATCCAGACAAGAACATGAGAAAATTGATTGGAGACCTTTGATATTCATACCAAGGGGAAACAAATCCATTTGAGCACTCCAGTGTTTCCCACTGGGTGTCTCCTTGTGATGCCTGGTCACTGGTAGAGCTGCACAATTGAGAACTGATAACACTTCTGTGCTGAGGAAATGCTGGGGGTTGTAATTCCCCAAGAACAGAAGATTCATGGACAGTTCTTAGTGTTCATCTTCCAGCTGAAATAGGAAAATCCATGTGTTAGGAATGGGAGGTGTCCCTTGAATCTTCCCTGTGTTAACTTCTGATCTTATATAGAAGAATTCAGGTTTAAAAGGGAATGTTAAAATCAATTTCAGAAGCTTCACTGATGGCTAAATGCCACCATTTCTGCCATTTTAAGCTTAAATAGCTGCATTTGAGTGTCTTTTAGAACTAACTAAAGTTAGCAGGGAGGGTATAAAAGCCCAGGTAAAAATCTGTGCTTTTCTCTGAGCCAGCCTCTTTGGTTTGGCTCAAGTTTTCCCATCATTCTGAATCCCTTTTTGATAAAATCAGACTCTCATCTGATTTGTTTGCTCATGTTAACTCAGTATTTTCATACTTCAGACACAAGGCAGTTGCCAAACAAGTGACTTACCAGGGAGAGGGAGGAAACCAGGGACAGTTTTCCAAGAGAGGGATGAACCACAGACACCCAATTCTCATGTCCCCAGTGTTTCAATAAACTCCAGCTTAGCTCAGGAAGCATTCCTGCTCATGGAGGGCAGGGATCTCTCCCAGGAGTGTTGATAGTGGACTGATGTGTTCCATTTTGTCCAGAAATCCAAACCTCCTTCAAAACCGTCAGCGCTGGACCAGCCCCGGGTGGGATCTGTTCCTCCACGGGGTCCATGCTCCGTGTTCTCCACTCAACACAGTCACTTCTGCTCACCTTAATTATATTTTAATTTGCATTATAACCTCTCAGCTGTGCCAAGCTTAAGTGCTTAAGACTTTAAACGATTTCAGTTTATTTCTGTGGCGCTTTCCCTCCCCTGGCAGTGCCGGTGCAGCACCGGCTCTGACGGCTCCTCCCCGCTTGCAGGTTGCGGATGCGAAGCCCACGGAGAAGAAGAGCTCCCTCTCCAAGCCTCCATCCTCCACCACTCCCAAGACTCCTCTCAAGAGCTCCCCAGCTGCTCCCAAGACCACAGCGGCGTCTCCGGTCACGGCGGCTCCTGCTGCCAAAACCACCTCGGCCGCGACTCCCAAGAGGCCGTCGTGTGAGTGTCCCCTGTCCTGAACTCCTGCCTGAGATGTCCCCTCCTGAGGGCTGCAAGCCTGAGGGGCACCACTGGCTCCCCACAACTCCCTGACAGGAGGGGGGAGCTGGAGGGAGTCGGGCTCTGCTCCCAAGGAACAAGGGGCAGGATGAGAGGGAACGGCCTCAGGCTGTGCCAGGGGAGGGTCAGGTTAGATATTGGAAAATTTCTTTGTGGGAAAGGGCTGCCCAGCTCTCCTGGAGCCCCTTTAGGCCCTGCAAGGGGCTCTCAGCTCTCCCTGGAGCCTTCTCTTCTCCAGGGAAACCCCCCCAGCTCTCCCATCCTGGCTCAAGAGCAGAGGGGCTCCAGCCCTGGCAGCATCTCCGGGGCCTCCTCTGGACTCTGGCTGTAGCTCAGACTTTTTCCTCTCCAGGGCTTCCTGTTCCAAACCCAAATCCAAATGGCCCTCAAGGCCAGCTTGGATGAGCCCTGTGTCATCCAGGGTTAATGCAGTTAGTGAACAGGCTTGATTTAAGGGATGCTGTTCCCTCTGCATTTTGCCACAGGAACAGAATAAACACTAAAAGCAAATAAAACTTGGGAAAGAAAGTCTGCAGGAGAGGACTTGAAACACCCGAGCTGGTGCCTCTGAAAACCAAAAAGGGTTCAGCAGAAGTCGAGGGCTTTTTACCAGTGCAGGAAGAATTTGGAGCTGAGGTCACATCAGCTCCATCCAAAGGCTGTGTCCCACTCCTGCTGCTGCTGAAGAGGGACCTTCCCACGGGTTCAGCGTGAAACACGAGCAACATTTCAGCCTCTTGGAAACAAACACGTTCTCACTCATTTTAATGGAGCTCGAGAGATTCAACGTCAGATAAAATTTGAGTTAAATGATCTCAAGTCTTTTTAAATTACTGGACCCCAGTGGCAAAATTTGCCAATAAACCTGTAAAATGATCCGTGTTGGTTGGTTTGGGCCGTGAATCCCAGAGCTTGGATTCGTAACCCAGCGTTCCCAAAGAAATAGTAATGTTTGAACTGTTTGAGGTTTATTAGGCTTGCTGGCCATCCCAGACTTCATGCTCTGGGGGAAAATATAATTAATGAAGCGTAGAGGAAGTGTTGAACCTTCCAAGAGCCATGTATCCCATCTGATCCCGTGGCCATCCTTGTAAAATTCATTTTGTGTGGTCTTTGAGGCAAAAACCGTGGCCCGGGAACGAGGAATCCGTTCTAATGAGTTCAGTTCATTCCTCCTTCCAAAGCTGAGACCCAGACAAAGGGGCGTTCGCTGGTGACATCTGAAAGGAGACGGAGCCAGCGATGCAGAGCTGCAGGAGGGTTGTTCCAAGAGGCAGGATGTGCAGAGGAAGAGGCTCCGGCACCGGCAAGGGCGGTGGGACGGTGCCAAAGCACAGGGAGAACTGGGTGGGCGAGGGAGAGATGAGGTCAGCTGGAGGAGCTCCAGGGGGAGGCAGAGCTGCCTCGTGTGGGGCTGGGGACGCACGGGGCAGTCAGGAGTGGTGGAAGAAGAAGGGGGTCCTGTGTTGGGTGAGGTGACAGAGGGGTGTGACAGGCTGGAGGGAACCACAGCGGGTCAAACACCACGGCTGGGCTGGGGTGGAGCAGCTGCAGGAAGAGATGGGGATGTGGGAGACCTGGAGCTCTTCTGATCCCAGTTCTGATCAACTCCTTTAGAGGAGGGGGGAGCCCAGGGGGTCAGGCTGTGCTGCCAAGGAACAAGGGACAGCACAAGGGGAAATGGCCTCAAGCTGTGCCAGGGGAGGGTCAGGTTGAATACTGGGAAAATTCCTCCTGGGAAGGGCTGTCCATCAGTGGCAGGGGTGGAGGCCCCATCCCTGGAGGGATCTCAAAGCCCTGTGGATGTGACACTTGGGGACATGGGCAGTGATGGTTTTGGCAGTGCTGGGGAATGGTTGGACTCAATGATCTTAAAGATCCTTTCCAACCTCAGTGATTCCATGAATTTAGCTTCTCATGGCACAGCACTGAGACAGGGAATAAGTTTGTGGCTAAAAGTGCTGTTTCTGGCTGAAGATGCTCTTTCAGCAGGACATCTGCTCTTGTTTCTCCTGAGTCAGAAGACAGACACTGCCTTGTGATTCTCTCAGGTTTACTCGTTGTTCAGAGCTGTGTGTAAGGATGGGTTTGACATTCTGTGCTTTCACTTTTTTGGGTATGAAATGTCAGTTCACTTCCTCCACTGAAGGGGAACCACGTGGGGCTGGAGATTTTGATTTTTAAGTTTTAGTTTTATTTTTGGTTTTTGTTCCCCTTCCTGTGGGAATGACTTTTATGTTTGTACAAGACCACGCTCTGTCCTTCCCATCAGGCAAAAATCAAAGCCTTTGCCTGTCATTATAGACCATGAGCTTTATCAGTCTCCAGGTTTTCACCATCTCATATCACACAGACAGGAGGGTTCCAGCACTTGTAACCCCACTGACATGAGCAGAAATAACATCTCTCTCTCTATTAAAATATTAGTCCTCTGCCTTTTATATAAAACTGAGTCTGTTCTGTCCATACAGTTTCCCCAACTGAAGTTGTGGTCTTGAGGAATGAAATTAGGTTGGTTTGACAGACCCTTTTTTGAAGTGTTTGGTATTAATTATATATCTCTCCTTTAGGCCTTATTAAATTATCCAAATGGGTTTCACTTCATTAACTGGAATCTTATCTGGGAGGTTTAATTGAGTGCTTTTAGCAAAGTCAGGGTGGAATGATCCGGACTAACTTGGCCTGTAGTTATCTGCCTCTTCCCCTTGGTCTTTTCCATATAGATATTCCATAAATACCCTGCCAGCTGCTGGAGTTTATCTAAAAATATGAGACTTAATGGAAATTAAATACTAAAAAATGAGGGCTTTCATAATTTCTAACTATGATTTTTTTCCATTTCTTGTTTCTTTTCAATGTTGCCTTCCTTTGGCTATTGGAACAAACCCAATTTGACCCAAACTTGCTCATCGCTGATAGTGAAAAACCTACAATTTCATGATCAAAGAACTCCTTAAAATAAAGTTCTGTTTCCATTTTTCAGTCCGTGATTTTTGCCTTGATCAGTTTTCTGGTTGGTTTTTCCTCTGCTTGGGGAAATAGGGATGAATTCCTGGTTTAGGCTGTGCTCTGTAATCAGGTCATGATCATTGGGCTTTGCCCTAAGGCCTGGCTCAGTTTAGGGATTGATTTTTGGGTTTGTACAATTAAAATAGGGACCAAAATACATGCAATAACTTCTGTGCAAGAAAATTGGCACAGGGTAGGTCTGGTCTGGCAATGAGAGCAAGGTTAGAGAAGGACAAATGTGGGGTTGCTTTTGCTGTTGAGTAAAGAAAGGAAATGTGTTCTGGCAGGTTTTTTTGTTTGGTTGTTTGTTTTTTAAGAAATAAAGGTGGGGCAGGATTAAAATAACCTCAGTGAGTGCTGTCAGATTGAGAAAGTTATTTTAAGAAAAAACAAAATGTAACCCATCCCCCAGGTGTGTTCCATCATGGAATGATGGTCCTTTTACGTTAATTGATCCTTTGGCCGGAATATCCAAGTGGGTTCTGCTGTCAGGAGGAGGAAGCCAGGCAGGGGTTTAAACAGGGCAGTTAATTTTTGGGATGATTCCAGACTTCATCTGGATCCTGCTCTGAAATCCTGACCACTGTGTTCTGTGTTGGCAGCAATCAAAACCGACGGGAAGCCAGCGGAGGCCAAGAAGACCTTGGCAAAGTCTCCATCAGGTAATGCTCAGTTTGCCTCTAATCCTGGAGTTATGGAATCATCAGGCTTGGAAGAACCCTCTAAGGCCATTGATCATTGCCCCAGCACTACCAAGGCCACCACTGACCATGTCCCCAAGTGCGACATCCACAGGGCTTTGAAATCCCTCCAGGGATGGGACTCCCCCCCTGCCCTGGGCAGCTGTGCCAGGGCTGGGCAGCCCTTCCCAGGAGGATTTTTCAGTATCCAACCTAAACCTGCCCTGGCACAACTTGTAGCCATTTCCTCAGTGTAAATCAAACCCCCTTGCTTGGGGCTGGGGTGATTAAGGAGGTCTCTGTAAATCTCTGGGAAGTGTCCAAGGCTGGGTTGGACGGGGCTTGGAGCAACCTGGGCTGGTGGAAGGTGTCCCTACCCATGGCAGGGAGTGGGAATGGGTGGGCTTTGAGGTCCCTCCCAACCCAAGCCCTCCTGGGATGCTGTGACTCTGAGGGAGTGGGTACAAGCAGCCTCTGACCCGTGTGTTCCCCCTTCCCTCCGACATTCCCCGTGACACCCGCAGCGGACTCGAGCCGCCCCAAGAGCGCGGCCGGCAATGCCACCAAGAGCAGCGCCACCACTCCTTCCACCGCGGCCTCCAGCGCTCCCAGCGTGCCCGGGGCGGCCACCAGCCGTCCCAAACCCAAGGCTGCCACAACCAAACCCGCCTCGACCTCCGCGGACGCTAAAAAACCCCCCGCCAAGGCCCCCGGCAAGCCCAGCTCCACGGCCAAGCCGCCCCGGCCCAGCAGCAGCGCCTCCGCCCCCGACCTGAAGAACGTGCGCTCCAAGGTGGGCTCCACGGACAACATCAAGCACCAGCCCGGCGGGGGGAAGGTGAGTGCCGGGCCCTGCCGTGGGGCTCCTCGCTGACCGCGGTGGCTGTGCCCTCACTGCTCTCCTCGCTCGCGCTCTGCAGAGCTCCTCTCTGGGGTCTGGGGTGGCATTAACCAGGTGGTGGGAGTGTGCAGAAGGAATCCACCTCAGGGCCACCCGGGGTTTGCTGGGGCACGTGCGGGAACCCAGGACTCCGGTCCTGTTTTCCTGCTGCACGTCCCGACACAGAAACTCGGTGCTGAACGCCCCGAATCTTGTCTGTGTTCCAAACCTTGGCCTTGGGACAGAGGAGTCCAGTCTGCTGGATGGTACAGAAGGGGGAATAGTGCACTGGGATGAAGGAAACCTGGATTCAGGAGCAAGTTCCACAGCACCTTTCCCGTGTTTACCAGGCCCAAAGCCGACATGAAACGGGTCTGTTTGGATCACCTGTGGTGGCCACAAGAAGAGGGTAGTGCTGAAAAGGCATGTACAGAGCTAGAACTCGGGGCTCTCGATGCCTCTTAGTGCTCTAAATTACATGGTGAAACCAAGAATATCTGCCATGGAAATGAGGAAGGTTTGGGGACAGACCTGCAGCCTCTTCTGAGGTTTAAATAATGTGGCTGTGCAGAGCCATCAAACCTTGATGAGCTGTTGTATAACCCCCAATCTTGGCCTGACCAAACGTGTTGACAGCAGTCAGAGGGCTTTAATTCCCACCCAGAGGGATTTGCCCCCTTTGCTGCAGCCTGTGGGGCTGAATAACTGTGCACAGAACTTCCATGGGCTGCCAGGGGAGCACATTCCGTGCTGGGACCTCAGTCTGCTCCCAGGCACAGGAAAGTCAAGGGCACTCCTGGGCTGGCTGTGTGTCCCAGACAGCGTCGATACCACATGGATTTACCCTCAGTCAGGACTGTCTTAGTGGTGATCTCACAGCAGAGCCCTCCCTGGGTCAGCTTGAGGGACTCGATTTTTACATTCCATTGCACTGTCCTTGATTTTCTAAATATTTTCACAGAATTATTAAATTCAAGCAATTTTATTTTTAAGCAAATTGTCCTTTTCATAGTCTGTTTTACGCTGAGGTGTTTTTAGAGTCTGAGAATGCTGTCATTGCTGAGGGGTTTTTTTGTTTAGTGGCCTGTAAGTCAGTGAAATACAAAATTCACACTGAGCACCCCCCCCCCAAAATGCAGGTTCTGCTGCACCTCCCTGGATCCAGATTAGCAAAAGAATGGATATTTCCAGGTGGTTGCTGAATTTTTATGAATCCTCTAATTTTTCCTTCCATTTTTGCTCAGCTGGACTCGCTTGGTCCACCTGCATTTTTTAGATAAAAACTAAATCAACTGCTGGGCTCCAGGACTGAGTCAAGTCTGTGTGGGTGGAATCCCAACTGGAAGCACAGGATGTGTGTGTCCAGCAGAGCTCCTGGAGCTCCAAGGCAGAGACAATCCAGGGGTGTCTTTGCCTCCAGGATCTTCACCATGTCCTCCCTGTGAAGGAGCTGCTCCTGCACTGCTGCCATTGGGCTCCTAAAAGATCTGGGTTAATTTTTTGGCAGGATGTCAGTGCTGGGGTCACTTGGAACCTGCCAACGTGATCCCAAGGAAGGGGCACCAGGAGCTTTTTGAGACATGGAGAACAGGGTGCCTGTGCCACCCCATGCCTGAGTGGTGTCTCTTCCCTCCCGCCCTGGATGTGGGATTGTCCTTTGCCTGGGAACTGGAGGGTGCAGGAAGCTCTCCTGGGTCACCTGCTCTGGGAGGTCTCCCCGGGCAGCTCCTGTTCCCACCCCCCTGCCCACACTTCTGCTTTTGCTGGTTGAAATCACCCGTTTGTCTCCATCCAGGGGAAAGTAGAGAAAAGGCCCGACCCAGCCGCCGCTGCGCCCCGGCCCGAGCCCAGCGCGGGCACTAAAGTGGCTCCTCCCAAAACAGCTGTATCAAAAGAGGGGGTCCCCAAACAGCCCAATGGGAAAGTGAGTTCCTTTCACACTTTTCTCTTGGGGGAGATGAAGGAAAAAAACATTTCCATTTTGAGTCACCTTCCCTTCTCTTCGGCTCTTCTCTCTGTCCTGTCGGTGTCACTGTTCCTTGCACGGACACTCTTCCCGGTCTTTGTCCTACACCCCGAGATGTTCCCAGGGAAGCACCTTCAGGGCTCTCTCTGGAGGGACCTTCTCCGCTCCTGCTGGGAATGTTTTCAGAGCAGAGCTCTCCAGTTTCACTTTGAAGTTGATACAGGCTTAACTTTGAGCCACTTCAAAACAGTTCTTCCTACGCAGAACCAGTTTGTAACCAGGCAGAGTTTTAGTTCAGAGCTGCTTCTCTTAAGACCGTGGAATATTAAGGAATTCATCTTTCCTGCAATATTCCAGACCCAGTTGTTCCCAAACTCTGTAACTCCATGGATTAGGCCACCACCATTTGATGGGTTACCCCAAAGCTGGCGTGACACGGTGTTCCAGCACGAGGGAGGGGGGTGAGGTGGGAGTGCTGCAGTTTAATTCCAGTATTACCAGGCAGAGCCTAGTCAGGAATGACCAGGATTTGTACCTCTGGAGGAGTCAGTCACACACTCCATGGCACGAGTTTTCAGAGCTGCTCTTGCCCTGAATCCAGCCTTTCTGAATGGCCAGGGAGCTTTGGGAAGCTGCTCAAGTGAGAATGTTCTGGGGATTCCTTTTGTGCTCTGAGTTTATCACCTCTCTCTGGGAAGCAGGGCACAGCTTCTGCCCTGTTTTGTGCTGTGGGAAGTAACTCCCAGACTAAACACATGTTGTAACTAACCTTTGTAAACACGGGCCTGTCGCTCTAACTCAGCTCCTGCTCTGTGAGTAAAGCTCACTTAGCTCTTCCTTTTGTGCTACAAAAATCACAGGATCAATCACTGAGGTTGGAAAAGCCCTCTGAGCTCGAGTCCAACCATCAGCCCAGCACTGCAAGGCCACCACTGACCACGTCCCCAAGTCCCAATCACTTTAATATAAAGGAGAAACAATTTAATTAACGTGTGGTCTGATGTAATTTAACCCAAGGTTTGACCACCTTCGTCAGAAAAACCTTTCTCAACCCATGGGGCTTCACTGCCCAGGGGTTTGAGGGATGTTATCCAGGACTGGAGCCCGGCCAGGAGCAGATCCTGAGCAGTTCATTCCAAGTGCTGGCCCCGTGGCTCCTGGGCAGCCGGGCCGGCTCTCCCTGCTCCAGGGAAGCTCTCACTAGAAATATCCCGGGAAGCTCCTGGGAGGACGTGGGCAATCCCATCCCTTGGGGCAGGCAGGTCCCTTGGGCCCCTGGAGGAGCGTTTTCACCTCATGCTCTGGCACTAACACTGTCTGTGCAGACTCTTCTCCTTCACTTCTCTCTCACTCTCCTCCTCAGTCGCTTCCACCCCTGGCACTGAGTCGGGCTGAGTCACCAGGGCTCCTGTTCCCCATGTCAGAGCCCCCCCTGCCATATGACAACTCTAACCAGTCCTCTCCCTTGTGTTGTTTTCCATTCTGTGACGTTCCAGGTCCAGATAGTCTCCAAAAAAGCGAACTACAGCCATGTTCAGTCCAAGTGTGGTTCCAAGGACAATATTAAGCATGTCCCTGGAGGTGGGAATGTAAGTATGGGCTCTGGGCAAGCTGTCTGTCTACTAACTCCTTCTCTTGTACCATGTTGTTGTGTGTCACTCTCAAGAATGCTCTGTTGGAGGCACAAAGGTGTGGCAGAGTCTCAGGGTTCCTGGAAACAAGGCAGGCTGAAGAATTGTTTAATTTTCCCTTGGGATACCAGGATGAACGTGAGTGTCTCGTTTCATAGTGCTCCAGCTACACCTGACCTGCTTCTCACTTGGTTTAGGGGTTGTTCGTGGCCAAATGGAGGATGTTCACATCACTGACCCCAGGAGTTAACTCCCCATGGATCCCAGGAGGTAACTCCCCATGGATCCCAGAGTTAACACTCCCTGGATTCCCTCTGCAGGCAGTGGAGGCACCTCCTCATCCCACTGACCTACTGCAGATGTTTGATTTTTCAGATCAAATTCATTATGGCCTGGAAGTGCCTGCTGCCCTTCCCTGGCTCACAGCTCCAGCTGGAGCCAGACTCATTTCACTTCTTGTTTCACTGAAAGGACTTTGAAACAGGAAAAGACTCAGGGACTTAACCTTTGAGCTGCGATTAATTTCTAAATTTAAAGGCTGCTGGTGTCTGTGGCTGCAGAGCTGAGCTCGTTAAAATAGAAAGTTAATCTGGTGGTGTCTGCGGCTTGGTTTGGGGTGTGAGAGCCTGAAAGGGTCTGGCAGGAAAACCAGGTTAACTCCCTGGATCCTAAAGCCTGGGAGAGCATGAGTTTAGTTTGGTGGCTCGTTCCCTGGGGGCAGATGTGTGCTGCCCCAAACCTGTCCTGGGTTTGCTCAGGGGCAGTTTCAGAAACACAAAGTTTGGGTGGTTTCAGAGACACTGAAGTGTTTAAGCCCAGGGGAGTTTGTTCCATAGGTGTTGAAATATTCCGTGTTCCTGAGGAGTGATGTCCCAGAGTGTCTGGTTGGAGTCAGTGACACTGCTCAGGACCTGGCTGTGGGGACAACTGTGGGCTATTTTTCCTGGGAAATCTGTGCCCAGATGGCTGAACCTTTGCAGGACTGATTTTCCCTCAGATTTTTGCAGGGGGGAACCAGATGTGGGTCCTTAAGGAGCTGGTTCCCTCCAGGGTGGTCAGAGCCTGGTGGTCACTGTGGTGGTCACTGCACGAGGCCTCCCTTCCCACAGAGCCACTGGCCACACCCTCTGCTCCCGTCCTGCCTGGGGCTTTGGCATTTGCCTTTCTCAGCTGACATTTCTCATTTGGTGCTTCCATGACCTGCTCGGTGCCTGGGGGGGAGTTTCCCCTGGAAATGCTCCCTCAGGAGGCTCTGGGAAGCTGCTGGTGAGACCCTCGTGCCAGCTGGGTGCCCTCGTGGTGTTTTCCAGCCTGTACATTCCTGTTCCTGCTGCGTCCCCTGGGTTTGTCTCCCCTGGGTTTGTCCCCCAGGTGTGGCACAGGCTGTTCCAGAGCTTGTGCTCTGTTGCAGAAGTGCCTTTGGCCACTCTGGTGACAGTTTTTGGGACATCTGGTGCCATTTCCCTGCACTCCAAGGAGCTGTGTTTTGGAAGCCACTTCAGTTCTGCCACTCTTACCCCCAACAGCCTTTCAGTGGTCAATGAGCCCCACACGTGCTTTTCCTTTTTTCCAGGCTCCCAGGAATGGGATTTAAAAGTGGGGGATATTTTCTTGCTTGATTAATTCCATCAGTGAACTGTTCTTCTGCTCATGAATCACCATCCTGTCCTTCCCTCTTCACTGCCAGACATTCCCAGCCCTGGGGACAAGTGTGTCCCTGCTTTCTTTTCCTCTTCCCCCACACTCTCCTTTCACCACTGCAGTTTTCCTCCTTGATCAGCTACTTAAGCAGCACTTTATTCTGTATTTTCAGAGCAGAAAGTTCATTCCCAGGTTCCAAATGCCCCCAGAGCAGCTCCAGGCAGGCATTCTCAGCCCTCCAACATCCCCAGCCCTGCACATGGATGTGAGTGCCCAGTCTGTCTTCCCAGAAAAGCTTTTCCTTTTTACTCATTTTTATATCTTCTCCCTCCCTTTGGGGCACTGTGATCTTAGTGACCTCTTCCAAGCTGTTTTCTTGCTCAAATAATTGTGATGATCTCTTCTGGGAGAAGACTTCCCAGTGTTTCATTCCCTGACTTCCCAGTGTTTCACTCCCTGATGGAAGGTCTGGAAGGTCTGGTCTTTGTAGTCTGTGCCTTCAGTTAAAGCTTGTAGGAATCCTGTGGACAAGGCTTGTGGTTTAGTAGGAAATTATGGTTCAGCTTTAGGGCTGCTCTGGTAGAAGTGATGGACATGGAATCTTAGAGTGTTTGGGGTCAGAAAGGACCTTAAAGCTCATCCCATTCCCACTCCTTGCCATGGGCAGGGACACCTTCCACTATCCCAGGCTGCTCCAAGCCCTGTCCAGCCTGGCCTTGGACACTTCCAGGGCTGGGGCATCATCCCACCACCCTACCCAGGTGGTTCCTGGCTGGGTCTCTCTTTGGGTGCCCATTTTGCCTTCTATACATGGAGGTCATTTCTTCTGCCCTCCGAGATTCCCAAGAACCCGTGCCCAAAACCAGCAGCTGTTATTTCTGCTCATGTTCCGTGCACCAGACACAGACACAGTGAAGTTTCCTGGGTTAAAGCTTTTGTTGCACTTCAGTATTTCCCCCTCCTGGAACCACAGAGTCATTTAGTTTGGAAAAGACCTCCAAGATCATCGAGTCGAACCTTTGACCAAGGTTTCTCTCTAAAGAAAGCAGTGAAGAGGTAGATTTTACGAAGTGCAGGTAATGTCTGTGGTGCTGAAGGTTTAAAGGTGATTTGGTGTCCATGTGTTTCTCTGTCCTTTGGCTTGACCTGCTTAGATGGGTTGGGAAGTGGTCAGAGATAGAAAACCTAAGAAGAGTTGAGGGTCACACTCCCCATCTGAGCCTCTGTGTCAAACTTTCTGCTCTAAAGTTTATTTCTGGCCCTGGAGTCTGTGTTTGGCTCTGTCAGTGCAATCCCAGGCCTGTAAATGTGTCTCCTGTTGCAAACTCAAGTTGGAAATCCAGCAGGAACTGCCCTTCCATGCAGGTGTGGTGGTTTGGATCTGCTGGGGAGTCCCAGCTGGGTACATCTGTGATGTTTCAGCTGATAGTATCATGATTTTAAAATGCATTCAGTGAAATAAATTGAATTTCATCCCAGTCCCAAGCAAGCAAGAACTGCTGATTAAAGCTGTAATTATCAATAAACTCTTGGAGTGGCTGATGAGTGAACGAGTTCTTGTCACATTCAAAAAGAAAGACTTGGATTTCCTCTGCAAACCAATCTGGAGCAGAACTTCCTGAGCATGGAGGGGACAGCTGGTGGTTGGCAACCACCAGTCACGACTGGGATTGGGGATTCTCTTGCCATTCCTTCCAAAAACCCCCAGGTTTTTCCCATGGGAAGTTAGAATGTCAACCTCATTAGACCAGATGACCAGAAGTTCCTTCTGGTATAAATTATCTTACATTTGTATGAAGGGAAGGATCTCCAAGTGGTTAGACAAAGGTTCATTCTGGAATGGAGGAATTTTCCATCCACCTGCCTCTCTGGGCAACCTGTGCCAGGGCCTCCCCACCCTCACAGCCAGGAATTCCTTCCCAATATCCCATCTAACCCTGCCCTCTGGCAGTGGGAAGCCATTCCCTGTGTCCTGTCCCTCCATCCCTTGTCCCCAGTCCCTCTCCAGCTCTCCTGGAGCCCCTTCAGGCCCTGCAAGGGGCTCTCAGCTCTCCCTGGAGCCTTCTCTTCTGCAGGAGGAACAGGATGGTGGAGAGAAAAGGTTGGAGCTGGCGACACATCCCTGGCCCTGCAGCAGGAGGTCCCCTGAGGTGACATCTGTCCTGGGGGCTGTGGAGCTGCCCAGGCCATGGCTGTGTCCTCAGGGGCAGTGCCAGCACTGGCCAGGAACGGGTTGGGCAACATGGCAACGGGACTGGCTGTTTATTGGACCCTGTTCCGAGTGCTTGTGTATTCCATGGCTGTGCCACGAGCTCAAGGCCCCCATTTCTGGTCACTGTCCCTCTGTCTGTGTTCTCTGGTCTCAGTTTCTGTCCCTCATGTTAACCCCTCCTGGCCTTTGAGTGACGCCAAAGCTGCCAGCGGCATTTGGCTGGGGATCGGCAGGAGATGGTTCCTCATGG